AAACAAGAAGATAATAAAGAGCCTGATTCAGCTGTTTAACATCCTGAATGGCATTCGCCATGTTATTTTAGGTAACATCTTCAAGATACAAAACAATACAATGACCCTTCTTTAGAGAGTATATTGTACTTCTTTACTGAGAGACATGGGAATCTGGAGTAAACTCAAATACTGTAGCTACTGTATTTCATTGAAGCTGACAATGAGAAATCCTATATAGATATACAGTAGGTCAGTGAGCTTTGGATCTGATCCGTAGTTTAACCCATCTTTAAGGCACAAAAATATTTAATCTATACCTCTATGAAATTTACAATTGTATTTTTATTTAGGCATGGATACAATTCGTAAACCCTATTTGTGACACATTACAATGCATTGGTTCTATATAAAGTATATGGCAAACGAAAATGATCTTTTTAGTCATTTTTTTATAACAGTCTTGTAAATGTACGTCTTTTACATTAGTAGTTCAAATAGGTAGTTGCGTCAGCATGCGTATGCTGCAAAGGAACAGGTAAAGGTTTATTCCATGCTGAAAAGAGAAGAAAAGAAACACAACGTTTTGGCTATGGAGCCTTCTTTGGGTCAATAATGTCTTTTACATGATAAATTGTTAGATTAAATAAATCTGTCATTAATGAATGAAAGCAGGCCAAGGCATGTTTTAATCCATTGCTATTATTTGTGTTCTAACAATAAAAATCAAGACAGTTAATATGTTCTAATGTCCTAGTATCATACACAAATATATTTACATATACTGTGGTTATGTCCAATGGGATATTATTACATATTTTAAAATATTTGTACATATGTCAGATTTGCAATATTACCACTAACCATACAGATACTGAAGTTACAGATACTGTTGTCTAAAACAGGGGATTTTGTGGCTACTGGTTTTGTTTCACCAGAGAACAATAAATTTAATTAGAACTCTTTAGTTATTTTCAGTTCCTAAACATACAGTACAGAGGGTTGCTTTTTAACTACTGCCTTTCTTAAGTAACTGAAAATATCAAACCTTTGAGTAGAAAAAAAATGCAAAGCATTTAACCAAGCTTTCTGATTGTTTTAAAATTATCTTTAAGAGCTCAGCAACAATGACAACTAGTAGGATTTGGGAAACCCTGTTCTAAAACAATCAGTAAAAAATGACCTGTGTTTGTCAGGCCTGGTCATACAGTAGGTAGGCTCTGCATCTGCTGCTTTTATTTCCAGCCCAGTATGTCATGATGGGCTAATTGATTTCAAGAGCTATTTCAAGTTCAAGTTTATTGTCATTATACTCATACACAGGTTTATGGTATAACGAAATGCTATTAAGCTAGCTCTCAGATGGTAAGTAGTAAAAAACAACAACAACACAATTGTACAGTATAAGAAAAGAAAGACAGGGACAACAGGCAATGTGCAAAACAACAACAACAACAACAACAACAACAACAACAGGTAACAGGTAATGTGCTAACCATCATCAGTTGTGGAAAATCATACATCAACAGAATTAAATAAAGGATAGAAAATTATGGGGAGTGAACTCCGGTACAGTTTTCCAGATGGTAGAGGGTCAAACAGTCTGTAGCTGGGGTGTGTTGGGTCTTTGAAGCCCTTTTTAAAATTTGATTGAATCTCTTACTAAGCTTATGGAGAACAGCACAGTGATGCAGTGGTTTTTATTACTGCTTTGTAGTGCTGGGGCTCTGGGTTTAATTACAGACCTGGGGTGCTATCTGCATGGAGTTTGTATGTTCTCCCCATGTTTCCTCTGGGTGCTCCAGTTTCCTCCCACAGGCTAAAGATATACTGGAAGGTTAAAAAAAAGAATTAGTGCCACACTCAGGTGGACTTGAGCCAGCCACACTTTAACCTCTAAATTTACAGTCAATGGTCAGCTTGTAGAGATCCTGAAAATGTACCTTGTTTTAAATATCTTGGTACATACTGTACAGTATATTGATAATAAATTTAATTTCTCAGACAACACAGAATGTTTTTAAAAATATATATTTCTCTTGAGAAGACTGAGAAACTTTCATGAAAGCAAACACATCCTAGAGCTGGCTTACATGAGTCTGGTAGAGAGTGTGCTCTCTTCTAACATCTCTGCTTGGTATGGGAATTTGGATGTTAGGGATAAAGCCAAGCTCTGAGGGATTATAAACATAGGCAGAGAAATTATTGGTCAGAAACAGAACCAGCTGAACTACATCTAGGACTGTTTACAGTAAAGCAGTATTTAATAGTAAATGATGCCTCACCTCCACTACACCCCCAGTTTGAAGAATTACAAGCCGGGGGACTTTTCAGAGTATCAACAGTTATAAAAAACATTTTAAGAGGTCATTCATTCCGAGTGCTCTGATGTACCGGCCCCTTCACAGCATTTCACTGAGAACTATATACAGTATGTGTGCAGCTCACACTTGAATCTTATGTTTGTATACTGTATTGTATTCTATGGTATTGTTAATTACTGTATACAGTATTACATTGATTTTATATATCTTAATTCCTCTGAATGTTTTATGTACTCTATAAATACATTGTTTTAATTATTGTCTAAGTGAGGCCAAAGGTTTTAAAAAAAAAGTTCCACTCTATGTGGACAATTAAGTAGATTCTGATTCTAATTGGCTTCTGGGAAAACTGGCCCTGGTGTGAGTGTGTCTGTGTAAGACCAGTGAAGGACTGGACTGGACTTGTGCCTGTTGCTTGCTGAGATAGGCTACCCTGTGATCCTGAATTGGATGAAGATTTTAGAAAATGGACGGATGGTAGTGCTGAAGGAGATTTGGACTACACCACTGGTTGAAGCCACTGGTATAAACCCTCTGCTAATTAGTGAGTTTCAGAACTAACTACTTCAGGTGTTATAGTTGAAATATACTGTAACCTACAGGACTTGAGCAAAGGAAGAACACTGACTCACTGTGGGAGTGTCTGGCACTGTGCATTGTAATTCTCACCTGTGTTTGTTCAAGTGTCACGTCGAGGAGATATTGCATTAAGTTCTGTATGATGAAATCGTTGGGAACAATGCACTTTCTTAGGGATATTTTTTAAACCAAGGGAATGATTACAGACTAAACCAAGTCTAAACCAACAAGCAGATGAGTTACCGTTTACCAGTAATAACTCGTGATCACGAGCGCAGGTGGAACAAAACTAAGCACATACATTGGTATTCCAGGACCAGGGCTAGAAACGACGTGGTTTAGACCGGCGATATGCCTGATGATTTAAAGAAAGGCTTTTCTTGGTTGAGATACGGAAGTTAAGAATATATATACAGTATCTATATACAGTACATCCCGACATAAATGCGTGCACACAATATTTTCTTGATCAAGAGAGGGATGATTCTTCAGTTCTTGTCCTAGTAATATGTCTCTACAGGGACTCATGTAGAATCGTCATACCTTTAATACAATTATTATATGGGTTATGTGCATCAGGTTGGCAAAACATTGGAAAGAAAAAAAAACCGAGTTGAATCCTGTAATATATATATATTTGCCCCTAGGTGGAAGCAGCTCCACGTCATTTATTCATCACTACGCAAGAACAAGTTCCTTGTTTCATTATTCCCCAGCGATTGAACGCGACAAGTTAACATCTTTAAAAGAGTATTCCACTGCTTATTCCTCATGATGCGGTCTGGAGTCGAGTCCCACCTGAACAGCAGAGTTCTTGAGCAGAAAGTGAAACCCGAAGATTAAAATACCATCAAAAAGAACACAGGAAACCAGGCAGGTGTGTTTGTACTGCACATTCTTGACTCTGCACCACGTTAAAATACAAAGGTTGATTAAAGATATTTTGGAACTGATTCAATTTAAAAACAAATCAATAAACATTCCTCTCTGTATATCCGTTACAGTCGTACGAAAAACTGATAACTCGAACTGTGACAATGAACATAGACTGAAGTTAGAAATAATATTGATACAGATGCATACAATCCGTACAGGTGTGAAATGTGTTAGGTCCACAGCAGTTCTCTCGAAATATAAAACATTGTGGCTATTTCTTTTCACTGCCACATCACTAACCAAACCCCATTATAAAATAATGGTTCTCTATCAATTGTTTTTTTAATGAGTCAAAGGCCATCATAATAACATCTCCAAATAAATTTGTCTCAATAAAAAAAGCACGCTTTTGGAGTGTTCTATAATATGTGATGTATTTTCTGTTAATGTTTTTTATTTTATTTAAATCAATGAACAGTGTGCCTTGTTCTGCTTGAATACACATTCTTACGTGTCGCTTCAAACAAACTTAAAACAGTTCACTTCATTAAGGAAATATGTCAGTTAGCAGTCTTTTGTACTGGACACAGATCTCGCCGAAATTTTATATTGTTTCGTCGCTGCTCACTAATCCGGAGAAAGACAGGATTTCTGTAGTTATTGAATAATAACTGATCACTGATAACATTGATCATCCTTGCTAATCCTAATTCTCAGGATTGTTACGGCCTTATTCTTTTATGAAGCACGTCAGATATCAAAACGTACAGTACGTCAACATAGGTACACGTGAAGTTATATGTTGCGTCGAAGCTGATCAACGGAATAGTCCATTCAAAAGCGTTACATAAACCGAATTAACGGCTAAATAAATATGTCGCGAAATTCCAGTTAAAATCTAAAACATGAACACTTAAAAAACAGTTAATGTCCACAGTGCACAGCATCGACCTGCTTGATTGACGTCGTGTTATTTTTACAAATCTACACTGTAGAGGTGACACAGGGCGCGGCGCAAAGTCTCGATACAAGAGAACTTGTCTGTTCAAGCTATTCCCCTCAAGGAAATTTCTTCAGGGTGAAGTTTTGTTTACAAAATCACTGTCCATTAAATGACAGGGAATCATATTGAATTGATCGCAAGCAGAATTCTCTGCAGGTTAAAATGAGATATATCTCACAGTTTTTTTTTTTAAACGCCCGGGCTGCGCAGGTAGTTTTAAATTCTTTGGCGAGCAAGCAGTCATACTATAACAGTTACGGTAAACTTTAAAGAATTGTAAGAAATAAGGAAGTGGCGAGAAAAAAAAAAGCAGGGGTGTGGCTTACAACTGACAGCCACCTTTTCGGGGTGCAAACAGAAGAGATGTGGAAGAATTAATTCACTTTTCACTCGGCATTGGAGCAAGAGGAGAGACTAACTCGACTTGTGATCAGGTTGGTTGTTGACTGATACAGTCAGGTGCCCGGGCACCCTTGACCTGGCTTATTCTCAGACGGAGTTAAGGCTACCTGAGTGTGAAGTGCCTACACATAAAAAGAAGGAAGTCGGCAGTAGGCTTATTTCGCGTGTTTCAAGAAGATAAAAAATCGGCGAGGGTTTTTTTTAGCAGTAAATATGGATATACTGTTTAAACTGTGTAAAGTTACACTCATTCTCTTTCACGTTCTGCTGACCTTTTACATATTTTATTCAACTAAAAAATAATTCAATATTTAATCTCAAGGACAAACGCTCTGATAACGGCAGTCAGTACCAGTAGTTGTAACGCCTCTAAATAGATGGTCTCTGTGCATTTAGAAAAATACCCTCAGGAATAAAACTGAAGTGAATTTAGGGGCATAGAAGTTCGTTTAGATCGATCGTGGATTGGAAATGTTTTTTTTTGTTATATTATTTTATTTCTTAAATAGCCTAACTGTATTTTTAGCGTCCGTGTATTATTGGCACAAATAAATGTTATTCATCTGTTAGTATGAAGCTAAAGAAATAATATTTTACATTGTATTACAGTTTAAGGATTTTTTTAATTCGGTCCACTACAAAATGGAATTAGGTGTTGTCGGTACAACAAACAAGTTTTAAAAACGTGATTTAACCATTATAAAAAGAGAGCTTGCGGATTTGTACACAAATAGAAGATGGAACGTAATTTGGAGTTTAGGTGTGCTCTCTTGAAATTCTGTTTTGTGAGCATTTGTCATCACTGCAAGTTTATACAGGTGAGATGGGTATGCATTCCAGCGCCTGAGGCAAAGCAATCCAAACTCTTCAATAGTTTATTGGTATTCGTATCAAATCAAACTGACAGTGACTGCAGTCTGTTAAAATTTCAATATTTTTTTTATTCGTTGTCTGCGCACGTATTGGCCTAAAACACCCAGCGATGGTGTCAGTGTGTTGTGAAGTAGTTTTATTTAAATGCTAAAAGTTCACAACGGACGCTCCATTATATATGTACTGTATGTACAGTACAGTACAGTAGGAGGCTTCAGGTGGGTTGAAACATGGGTTGGAAAATGCTTAGCGGACACTATTGCGTCCGCTAATACTGCCTAATTGCCTGAAGTACCTTGATTAAGAATGCGGTAGTTTTGCCTGAATAGAAACTTGAACCCATCATTTAGTGTCGGTAATGGGTGTAGCACCAAACCACTATTTCACACGACTTCTGCCAAGTTAGTAAAGTAGTTTTTTTTTGTATTGAGCTTATTAAACAGTAATTTGCAACTCCTCTTTACTCTTTTGTACTGCTATTTTATTCCATGACAAAGTACTCATTTAAACTTCTTGTAGATTTGCATCTTACCCGGATCTTGGATGTTAAGGGATATTATTATTTTAAGATACAGCCTACTGTGTCATCTGATTGGTTCTAAGAGGAGTGAGTGGTATCCATGAAATTCTAAGACAACTGATATGAATCAAACTCCACTAGATATTTCCAATCCAGTAATACCCTTTGTTTACGCCAAGAATCTCATTTATAATAATAATTGCTTACACTTATATAGCGCTTTTCTGGACACTCCACTCAAAGCACTTTACAGGTAATGGGGACTCCCCTCCACCACCACCAATGTGCAGCATCCACCTGGATTTCAAGGATATTTGTCTGTACATAGACAACTATTATGTATACAGTAGTAATACTAGCTGTTAATGAATAATTATACTTAAACAGCATACAGAGTGCTTTTCGACTCTCTTGTTTTTGGTGTTCCTAAATAGCAATATACAGTAGATGCTAGGAAGAATGAGAGGAGTACAGAGCACAATGTGTGCTATCACTGGGTCAGTAATTGACAGTCATGCATAGAAACAATGAATACTATAATATGTGTAAATTCTAATTAAAAAGAAAAGGTTCAGCAGACATTGTCAGAATGAGCCCAGTTTAATCCTATGTCTATTCCTTTCACTCCTAAAGCTTTTGTTGCTATTATCTTTAAATTAAAAAAAAATCGTAACAAGTATTGTTTTGATTGTATGGTCATCATGTTTGGAATTGTTACGATAGTAACTCACCTTTCATGAGGCAAATTGATGCTTTCATGCCAGGGTATGACTGGAAACATGTGAAAAGCTTGTGTTGCATTAATTGATTTGTTTTAATGTAATTTAGTAGCATGCCATGTTGTTACATTTTTTTAAACTATGGTTTTCAAGGTTGCAAAATTCCAGTTACTGTATGTTATACACTATGTTAAGAAAGCCATTCTACATGAATGCTACTGTATATCTGTTTACTCTATTAGTTATGTATTTTATTTCTCATTAAATATTTGGGGACTTATACTGCAGTTCATTAACAAGATGTACAATGATCCCCTGGCTAAATATCCATTAATCAATGCATCATACATTGTGTATCCTTGAAACAATTAGCATGATTCCTTCCCAACAACTACAGTATGTGGGTTTGTGTTTAGTAAAGTGAAATACCTGCAATTTTCAGGGCGGAGTGCTGTTTCAACATTAGAGCATTAAATTTGGTGAATCTTCTACATCAGTCGATCAGAACATTAGGGATATAGCCTCATGTCACTTACAGTACATGCCATACCTCAGGTATTTATGTGTTGTTTCTGTTAAGCTTTGTTATTTTTATGTATTGTATCACACAAGCTTTTTTTCTGTGTAAAAAGCCACTACAGTGTAGAACAATGTGACTTCAAATAGTCTTTACACCTGTAATGCTGTAAAACATTGGGTTCAATTAGTCAGGTTATACACATTTTAACATGAGATGATGCATTAATAATGGGACATGGAAGATAAAGGCTAAAACATGAGTAAACTTGCTTATCACTTACAGTAAAAAACTACCAGGCCCCAAATAGTAGTGGTAGTATAGTAGTAATAAAATAATAGTTAGGTTTCTTGATGAGTTGTTTGTGCTCCATCTGCGATTTTGCTTTTCTAGTGATATTGGGAAGCAGTGTAGTACAGTATATGTTATTACAGCAGGATGGGTTTGTGTTTCAGGCAATCTTCGTTACCTTTTTTTTCCAAAATTAATGGGTTGCTAAAGCTTAACTGGCTTGTCAGATTTTTTTTTTTGCCTCATCCTGTTTATGTGAAACCTTTTTAGAATTTCCTACAACTAAGCTTAAAAAAAATCCAGCATCAGAGGTGATTCTCACCTCCTCACATGCCTCTGTACCACGGCCTCTTCGTGACATTACTAGTTCTTCTCTTTCTCAATTTTGGCAGCTGCTGTATCTACTGCACGTCTCACTCGATGGGTATCGCATGTGGATCCCACCTCCTGTTTGTTGGAAGTCCTTCTCTTTGTTTTATTTCCCTCCTGATTCTTTGCCCTTTGCCCCCTTGGTATTTAACATAATAAATGACTCTGTGAGCTGTAGCACGTTAATGACTTTTAAACCTGCTGAATTCTTGCTGGTGCCTGCAAAACGTCTCGTGGCTTAGAAAAATATGAATAATGTTTGGCCCAAATCTAAGTTGTCTTTTCTTGCAAATGTAAGCCGGTCTAACTAGCTTATTAAAAAAAACCCAATATAGACAGATAACAACAGGTCACTCAGAATGTATTTCACAAAAAAGGAAAAAAACAACAACACCAACATATACACAGGTCTGTGTCTACACAGATCGTAATTTGTAAATATACTGTAAATGATTAGATGCTGCACACTTTTTACAGTTTGTACTTTGAGTTGTGTTTTTTTTATTTTTAATTTTAAATTCCGTGACACCTGATTTTGTGGGGGAACTAAAATGCAGTTTTAAAGAAAAGTCCCAACAGTCAGTGGTGACACAAACACATTAGAACACGCTATCAGAGTGTACACAAATGCAGGTCTCTTTTTGAGCAGTTTACACAGTTTCTCAGGAGTATAAAACGGCGATATTTTACTGTAGAGTAGTAGTTGCGTGTTCAAATCCAGAGCGTGAGGCTACTGTTGTAATCTTGGCCAAAGTTGATGTCCTGATATCTAGTATTGTGCATCTCAGTGTTGAATTTTAATTTTAGTTTTGAGAAGTTAAATGGGTAATTCATTTTTAAGTAATTTGGAGATCATGTGGGATCTTTAGCACTCATAGACCAGTAGCTCTTTAGGAATGGTTAAGCCGTGACTAGACTGTGGTTCTCTAGGACATGGTTTGGAACCATTTTTGTAAATCTAGTTATTTTATTTTTGCTTAATAGTTTAATAGATTTTCTTTATTTAATTTAAATTACCTTCATTTCTCTTTTGAGTGTTTGATTTTATTCTTACAAAAAGAAACAAACAGTGTATTGAAAGTGCCCAATGAAGTCACCAATACAGATGACTCTTAATTTACCTTTGTCTGACTTAATTTACCTTTGTCTGATTATTTTTTGAAGCATTCTTGGTAATATAGTTTAATGAAGAGATGCTTTTTTTTCCCAAAATGGTTTGGTATTTAATCAGATTCTCAGAGGCGTCACATTTCAGATCTGTTGTGAAAGGGTAAAAGCTAGCTAGCAACAGGATATCACAGCCAGAAACAGTAAATTTACCACAAGGAAGTAAGTACAACTCGGCTACAGAAAAAACAAAAAAGAAAAAGAATATGCAAAAACTACCTGCAGTTTCTGCTCACAGAAGCATTTTGTTTCTTGATATTTTATTTTGATATACACAACACAAATAAATGTCAACTGAGTTCTTAATAAAATTACTGCATATACAATCTGTGAGAAGTGGAAAAAAATTACATTAAGATTCTGAGAGTAACTAACATAGATGCCTAGACTGAGGATGTTCAAGCAGGAACTGTGTCAGCATGTATAGGCTGCAAAGAAACAAATTCCATGCTGAAAGGTAAAGAAAGGAAACAAAATTGAAAAGCCTTAAGATACCCAGATGAGCACTTGAAAAAGACACTATCAGAGATCTGCAGTCCTGATGGCATTTTGCATAAAATGTGATGAGTGGCCCAG